AATAAAGCCATAGTTTGGGCAGCCTATCAATTCGTTAGGGAGTGAGTTCCTTAGATTAGGTCTCTTTATTTGCAAAGAGTTTTTGCAGAAATTAAGATTGACTCTGGGGATTTCAAAGTGATATTTATTTGTTATTGAAAACAGCGATGGGTCACATTTTGGCCAAACGCCCCCTGCAGTTTTCAAATTTTTGGAATTATCGCAAATTTGACTCATGAGCGTTATTTAGGAGCTGAATTCTGGCTCACTGCAGATATATTGAGTTTGAAATTGCGAGTTTTTATACCGAAAATATACCAATTAGAGAAAACTGCGATGGGTCACATTTTGCCCAAGCCCCTCTGCAGTTTTCAAAATATCGCAAATTTGCATCAAGAGCGTTATTTTTTAGCGGAATTCTGGCTCACTGCACATATTTGGAGTTTTAAACTGCGACTTTTTATACCGAAAATATGCCAATTAGTGAAAACGGCGATGAGAACTTTACAAGCATAGTGAAAACGGCGATGAGAACTTTACAAGCATAGTGAAAACGGCGATGAGAACTTTACAAGCATAGTGAAAACGGCGATGAGAACTTTACAAGCATAGTGAAAACGGCGATGAGAACTTTACAAGCATAGTGAAAACGGCCCCCCCCCCCCCCCCCTATGTGGTGGGTATGTGGGCCTGTGGGCCGCTCCAAGCAACAGCCTGGTGGACCAAACTCTCACAAGTCAAGCCTGGCCTCGGGCCGGGCTTGGGGAGTAGAAGAACTCCCAGAACCCCATCAACCAGGTACCAACCAGGTACCCCCCTACAGTTTTCAGAATATCGGAAATATCGCAAATCTAACTCATGGGCGTTTTTTTTTTAGCCGAATTTTTGCTCACTGCACATATTTGGAGTTTGAAAATATGCCAATTAGTGAAAACGGCAGTGGGTCACATTTTGCCCAAACCCCCCCTAGAGTTTTCAAAATATTGGAAATATCGCAAATCAGACTCAGGAACTTTATTTTTGAGCCGAATTCTGGCTCTCTGCACATACTTGGAGTTTGAAATTACGACTTTTTATGCCGAAAATATGTCAATTAGTGAAAACAGCGAAGAACCAAATTTTGCCCAAACCCCCCTACAGTTTTCAGAATTTTGTAACGTACGTTTATGTTACGTTGTTGGGCAGATTAGATAGACATTGTTTTGTGAGTTTTCATATTTATTTAGTAATCTTGATTACAGTAGTCGGTTGGTGGCGTTGTCGTAAACGTTGAGACGGAGCTTGGAGCAGAGCAGAGAGCTGAGTAAGACCGGAGTCGCGGAGCTCTATGTGGGAGAGTGTGGCGGCTCGATTGGGAATTGTGAGTGTCTGAACTCGGAGAGCGAGAGCGTTGTAGCTCGATGCGGTCGTAGTCTGCTGTCTGCTCTGTGTCGAAGCTGTAGCGTCTTGGGTCGATTAGAACTGTACACGCCGAGTACTACATTCTTGACTGTGGGTACTGTCCGCTATTCCGATTGATTGATTGATTGATTGATTGATTGATTGATTGATTGATGAAGATTAAGCCACCCAAAGTGTGGCACGGGCATGAATAGCCCGTAAGTGGAGGCCCTTTTGAGTCATTACCAGTATCAAAAGATGATACTGGAGATCTGTGGAGGTGCGACTGCACCCTGCGTGACGGGAGATGTCTCCCGTGCCGCTATTCCGATTGATGAAGATTAAGCCACCCAAAATGTGGCACGGGCATGAATAGCCCGTAAGTGGAGGCCCTTTTGAGCCATTACCAGTATCAAGAGCTGATACTGGAGATCTGTGGAGGTGCGACTGCACCCTGCGTGACGGGAGATGTCTCCCGTGGCGGTATTGCTCCTATCGCTTGCTTCTATGGTGACTACACCTCAGCTCCCTCCAACAAGATAAGAAGAGTATTACCTGTAATTGGGGAAAGGATTGTAGATTCTGTAATTAGTGCTAATTAGTTATGCTATTAAGATAATGAGATAATGGAGCGAGTATAAGATTAACTCGCTACAATTTCTTAAATATCGCAAATCTAACTCATGAGCGTTATTTGTGAGGCGAATTCTGGCTCACTGCATATATTTGGAGTTTGAAATTACGAATTTTTTTTACCGAAAATATGTCAATTAGTGGAAACGGCGATAGGTCCCATTCTGGCTAAAGCCTCATACAGTCTTCAAAATATCGCAAATCTGACTCATGTTTGTTAATTGTGAGACGAATTCTGACTCACTGCACATATATGGAGTTTGAAAATTTGCCAATTAGTGAAAACGTGAATGGGTCACATATTGCCCAACCCCGGAGCCGGTCGGCCGAGCGGACAGCACACTGGACTTGTGATCCTGTGGTCCTGGGTTCGATCCCAGGCGCCGGCGAGAAACAATGGGCAGAGTTTCTTTCACCCTATGCCCCTGTTACCTAGCAGTAAAATAGGTACCTGGGTGTTAGTCAGCTGTCACGGGATGCTTCCTGGGGGTGGAGGCCTGGTCGAGGACCGGGCCGCGGGGACACTAAAGCCCCGAAATCATCTCAAGATAACCTCAAGATAACCCCCCTCCCTATAGTTTTCAAAATATCGTAAATATGACTCATGAGCGTTATTTTTTTTATAAGAACAGATACTGTTCTTAAAAGATTCCCCCATTTTGCACCCGCAAGATAACGTAAGATTTTAGGGGTTGACAAATGTTAATCTTCTTGTTTGAGGAGCTGTTCACTTGAGACAGTTAAGCAAGTCCCAGCTGTGTCTGGGTACAAGTTTATTATTATTATTATTATTATTATTATTATTATTATTATTATTATTATTATTTTCTACCACAGACGTGGCCAAACATTAAAAATGCTAACCAGCATATATACATTTTCTTCTGTCCTCCATAGACAGAGTGAGAGATCTGTTAAACATATAGTTCAGGGATTTGTTGAACAATCAACCACAGAAGGTGATTGTAGTGCTTTTAAAATGTTAATCGAACCTACAGACATAAATACATAGATACAGAGAGTTACATCTGCCCTACATAAAGTGGTCGATGTGTTCTTTACATAGTGTCACTAATGTGCATTTACAAAGGTGAGATGTAATTCTGATCAGCTTCCACATATACTTTATACATACACACACACACACACACACACACACACACACACACACACACACACACACACACACACACACACACACACACACACACACACACACATATATATATGTGTGTATATCACGAAAATAAACACGTGATTAAGAATGTGACAATGTCAGACCACGGAGGAAAATTAAACAGGAATTTCCTTAAGTACTTTTGTATATTAAATACATCTTCAGAAGGAATGAAGATGCCTTCCATTCCTTCTGAAGATGTATTTAATATACGAAAGTACTTAAGGAAATTTCTGTTGCATTTTCCTCCGTGGTCTAACATTGTCACACACATATATATATATATATATATATATATATATATATATATATATATATATATATATATATATATATATATATATATATATATATATATATATATATATATAGTTGCATATTGTCCTATATCAGGCTTGTTATATATATATATATATATATATATATATATATATATATATATATATATATATATATATATATATATATATATATATATATATATATATACACATGCATACACATACATTTATGGATCTCCTACTCTGAGAGGGTAAGATAGCTGATAGATAAACTAGTGTGTTATTAAGCACTTAACCACTGAAGGTGATGAAGGTGCTTTTACAAGCTCAGGTTATATAGTTACATCAACATACATTGTATAATTGATACATTACATGGTTAATCTTGGGTACAAGTCCAATATATCATCAAGTGTTCCAGTACTCATATATTATATAGTAACTACAGAGTTCAGCATACCTTAGCCCAGGAGGGCGAAAGTCAGTCAATATGGGACATTCTACAATATAATGTTCAAGAGAGTGCATGTTTTCTCTTTCACAAAGTTGACACATTGTGTACTCGACATTTGGGTTTTGAAAAAGCTGCCAGATACGTCTATATCCCAGGCGTATTCTGGCCACTATAACATCACATTGCCGGGTTCTTGTTCTATTAGTCCCATATGTGATTGTCTCCGTACGATATCTATCATAATATTGAATGCTACAACTTTCAGGTCTTTGGGTACAATTGTTGTTTGTTTTTTAAGATTCGCTACCTGGAACAAAAAGTTCCAAGTAGCACGGGCTATGGTGAGCCCATTTTTGGGTACAAGTCAAATCAAATCAAATCAAATCAAGTGTTTATTTAGGTAAGGTACATACATACAAGAGATTTTACAAAGAGTGATGGATTTATAGTTAGAGCTAGTACATACAATGCCTAAAGCCACTATTACGCAAAGCGTTTCGGGCATCAGTGACAGGATGAACAACCCAGCGGGTTTTCTTCCTATTGGGGGGTGTTGTACATGCTGCTATAGAGATATGTCCACTCTCAGGATGGGTGGTGCTGCCCAATAAACTCGCCCCACGGGGGAAAAAGAATAGGATTATAAACTCCTGGAACCGCCTACCCGCCAAAGCCGTAAATGCCCAAAAACGTTTATATTTTTAAGTACAGCTGGAAAAGATCATCAAGGCAAATTGGGGGACCTTCGACAAGCCGCCGGTTTCCTGTCCTCGTCGAGGGCATTAGTGTTAGTGGCCCTCAGGTAAGTTCAGATAAATTCAGGTAAATGGATGGTTAGGACGTAGAGAGCCTTGCCCGTGATAATAGGCCCTCAACAAGCCACCCACACGACCCTAACGAGGTGTATCCATACCTCCCAATCATCTATTCACCCCATGAGGTACCATCAACAGATAAACAATAACAATCAACAATTATTTTGCCATAATACCATCTTATAAACTAAATAGTTTGTGGGGGAGCCGTTAAGGCGTTTATTGCGGCGTAGAAGTGAGCGTGGGCCAGGAGCGCGTGAGGAGGATCCTAAGAGGATCGACTCCCTTGTGAGGCGGTTGGTGTGCGCGCGCGGCATCTGATGCCCCGTCCCTTATACCTTCCCCAGCCCTGGCTGACGAAACACCTCCGGCCCGGCCACCCATATCCCCGGATTCGTGAGTGATCAGGAGCTTCACCATGGCCGAGGAGGAGCTTGTGAGTATGCTAGGGTGGTGGTGAGGGCCCCGGGGTGGCGGCCAGCTGCGTCAGGGCCGCCAGCTGGCGCTCTGGTGTCGGGGGGCCAGCATCCAGCTGGCACGCACGCGTGTGTGTGTGCACACCTTCTCGTGTCTCTACTATTTTAAATTGACAATTGGTACTCTCAGGGGGGAATATGTCACGGGGTAATGGGGGTTTAATGGGGGAATGGCATGTGTTCATGGCCAGACAGAGAGAGAGAGAGACAGGTTGATTGTTGATTAGGTTGTACGCAGCTGGTGTGGTGACAGGTGGTGTGTGTGTGTCCAGCTGGCCACAGGGTTAATGGACACATGAGAGCCACAGGGCTAATGGTGGACACATGAGAGCCACAGGGTTAATGGTGGACACATGAGAGCCACAGGGTTAACGGTGGACACATGAGGGCCACAGGGTTAATGGTGGACACATGAGAGCCACAGGGCTAATGGGGGACACATGAGAGCCTCAGGGTTAATGGTGGACACATGAGAGCCACAGGGCTAATGGGGGACACATGAGAGCCACAGGGTTAATGGTGGACACATGAGAGCCACAGGGTTAATGGTGGACACATGAGGGCCACAGGGCTAATGGGGGACACATGAGAGCCACAGGGCTAATGGGGGACACATGAGAGCCACAGGGTTAATGGTGGACACATGAGAGCCACAGGGTTAATGGTGGACACATGAGGGCCACAGGGCTAATGGTAGACATATATGGGACATATATATTGATCCAAACCATTTCTTTAAAAGTTGAGATGTAATGCACTTTGTTGTTGTTGTTGTTGCTGGCAGCAGCGGGGCTAAGCTGTGTGTGCCTTGCCAGTCTGACTTCGGAGACAATGGTTGTGTATTCCCTTAGTCTCGGTGGTGTAGTCGTAAAGCACTCGACCGGAGCTTCGCGAGCGCTTTGGCCTGGGTTCGTATCCTGGCTGGGGGAGGATTGACTGGGTGCCAGTCCTTAACTGTAGTCTCTGTTCACCCAGACGTGAATGGGTACCTTGCTGTTAAACGATTTGGCGAGTCGTATTTTGGGGAAAATTAGGGTTAAGGACCTGCTTGATATACTATGTGTGCGCTCGTGGCTTTACAAGAATGTAAGAACTTGTATATGTTATTAAAATAAAATAAAAAAATAATAAAGGAATGTGAGAGTGAGCAGAATGTACTCTCTCTCTCTCCTGGTGGATGGCTTTTAAGTAGACTGGTTAAGGTAGGGGTGTATTTCCCTCTTTCTTTCTCGGTTCAATTACTGTATTGCTCCTCGTGCTGGCCAGTCTGGAGTCATACGTAGGGAGGGTGATCCTTCGGGCTCCGTAGTGGCTACCCCAGCCTTGCTTTCCAGCACTTCTGGACCAGTTTCCATACCTGGGCATTTTCCAGCGACACTTGCCTCTTTCAGCAAATTGGCCCGGTGGTGTACTTCACCGATTCAAATTTTACAGCTCTGTTCATCTGGAGATTTTGGTACGCGTCTTTGCCATTTGTATAGCGAGCAGATGGCTGTTTTGTTGGTGTCCCGCCTGTGTCTTTTCTTGTGGCGGCAGTATGAAGCTGCTTTGCAACTTTGAGGAAGAAAGAAACAAAGAAATGTTTCAATGAAGAAACTGCTTCACTACTGCCTTTTCTTCATCATCATCAGTTTTGGTCAGGTCTGTCATTTCTCTTTTGTTTTGGTTGTTTTTCGATCAGCATCTTCAGAAGGATCAGGATCAGGTCAGAAGGGAGCCGGTTGGCCGAGCGGACAGCACGCTGGACTTGTGATCCTGTGGTCCCGGGTTTGATCCCGGGCGCTGGCAAGAAACAGTGGGCAGAGTTTCTTACACCCTATACCCCTGTTACCTAGCAGTAAACTAGGTACCTGAGTGTTAGTCAGCTGTCACGGGCTGCTTCTTGGGGGTAGAGACCTGGTCGAGGACCCGGTTGCGGGGGACACTAAAAAGCCCCAAAATCATCTCAAGATAACGTCAAGATCTTGTGCTTAATAATGTCACCTCTTCTTGTTTTGCAATGGCAGAGCTGCTGTTACTTGGGCTCAGTGTCAACATTTCCATTTCTTTATACAAACATTATGTATAACTATCTACATTTTCTGTGCACCATAATGAACCACAAACATTGTGTGTTGAGAGTTTATATACACAGAACAGGGATTCAAGGCAGCCTAGCGGCTGACAGCCGAGTGTGGCTGGGGTTGGCCCAAATACATCTTCAAATAATTATTTCAGTGTCTGTGAACGGTTTTACATCTAGTGCTTTGCAGTAATATTATTCAGCAGTGTGTTATTTGTGAAATTTATATAGATAAATGTGTGTAACATCGCTATGCTCACAAGCGGAGCCTGGTCTCAGGCCGGGCTCGGAGTAGAAGAACTCCTGGAACCCTCTCCAGGTATGCTTCAAGTACATATGCTCAGAATTATAGAGCTCGTATCAAGTAACACGTATTACTGTATTAGTATTATTTTTTTTTAGATCAAACAGTATTTTTGCTATTATTACTTTATATACATAAGAACATAAGAACAAAGGCAACTGCAGAAGGCCCACTGGCCTATACGAGGCAGCTCCTATTTATAACCACCCAATCCCACTCATATACATGTCCAACCCGCGCTTGAAACAATCGAGGGACCCCACCTCCAGCACGTTACGTGGTAATTGGTTCCACAAATCAACAACCCTGTTACTGAACCAGTATTTACCCAAGTCTTTCCTAAATCTAAACTTATCCAATTTATACCTATTGTTTCGTATATACACATGTTATATACATCTCTATTTTTATAAGCTGTAACAAACCACTAATTAATTCTGGTGTGTTGGGTGATGAAATCTTAGCACAGTAGAGAGCTATTCACTACGCCCAGCTGACTCCAGCAGCCGACCTCACCTGACGGAGCAAAATACGCAGAAATACACTATGCCCATTGCTATTACCACTTCAAACAGTGCTATTATTATCAGATTCCTGTCACTAAATCATGAATATGAATCATTTGCCACAAGATTATTTTCTAAAGGAAAATGAGGTCACTTTTGCATGATGAATAGATTAACAAACCTTGGCTGTGAAAAAGGTCTGCGAACTGTGAAACCTGTGTAATATACTGTGAACATCTGCCTCCTACTGTGAACATAATAACTAGCATTGTGTTCACTGATGTCTGAACATTGTACAGACATCAGTGAACATTGTACATATTCTTTATCAGTCAGGATCATCTTTGACTATCAATGCAAAATAATTGGTTACCTATTTATCGTTTATCATTATTAAGTGGTGCTGTGGCCCCCTAGCTACACAGCATTGCTAAGAGCTGCTGCTGCATGTGCTGGCCCTAGTCGCTCATTCAGTACTAAGGCTCTCACAGCCAGTATTGATGAAAAAAATTTCTTTTTCAAGATGGTGTCTGTTTACTGGGGTCCTGAGCCAGCGGCTGTCAGCCCTGTGTACCCAAGGAAGCTTTGAATTGTTCCCTGTAATTAAAAGCGCTAGACACACCACCAGTCGAGCGCCTTAAGGTGCTATGTGCAGTGCAGGGGTTCATAAAGCCACTGGGTAGCTTCCTCCAGAAACCCAGCATTGAAGGCAGACGATGAATCACAATAATCATTTAAATCATTTAAATCTACACAAGTCTACACAGTGTATATAGTGTAATAACAGCTACATTATTTGTTAATTGTTTTATGAACATAATTGAATCACTAATATGCACACAATACTTTTGAGTATAGCAATGATTCACACATTTTATTATATAAATATATTACAATACACACTATTGAATAATATTACTGCAAAAAACTAAGGCAAAGTCAATGAGACATTGAAATAATTAGGTAATAATATTATCTTTGTGGTAACTTCCGCCTGACAGCTCGGGCAGAGCAGACCACTTCCGACGATTGCTCTGTCAACGCCTCAATTGTGCCAGACTTCCTCACCCTATTGCAGCCAAAATATGTCACCTACAATTTTTTATTATTATTTTCCCATGATCAGAGAACACAACAAACACTTATAAAACTTTTTTTTTTATTTCTTGCGCCTGAGCGTGTTGCAGGCTATAATCACAAGAGCAACCAAGGGGGTTGACCTCTGTGATGCGCTGTATTTATTGGGGCAGTCTGGCTATGTGCCAAAAATAGTGTCCCCTCTCCCCCTATTTTTTGTTCTTTGTAACTTGTTAAAGTCCCTTCCCTGAACAAGTACACGTGAAAAAATAAATTCTACTTACTTTGGCTGTGGAGACGTCGACAGAGTGGTGCTTGTTGTCATCACGGGCTGGTCACCCGTGTGTGAAGCACCCAGAAACGGTCGCGCGGGCTATTCAGTACTGCGAGTTGCCACAAATATATTTACAAATAATTTTTCTATGTATATTCAATGCTTTATAATTTTTTTAATCGTATATGATGCATATTTGGCCTTGACAATATTTATACAGTAGAATGTTCATAATACTTCATGGAACTGTGATACATGTCAGTAATATGTTCACAATAAATGTTTGCTGCAATATTACTTGATCAAAATTCACCAAAATTACAATATGTACAGTTTCACACTATTTATACAGTCACACATTGTATTACATACTCAGTACTTCAGGAGTGATTGATAATCAAGGCAGCATTCCATGGTCTACAGCGCAACTTTGCTCTCGATGCACCAGATACAGATTTTTGCTTCCTGTTTCTTCGTTCTGTGTGCTTGCAAATAACGCACTCACGTACACCCTTGACTTTAGTACCTGTAGGTGGTATGTAGCCAAGCTTGTGAAGTGTAAGGTAACCTTGAAAAGATTATAGGAAAAAGATTAATTTGTAAGGTTAGTCTTGTAAAGATCGCTTTGTACGGAAGGATTGAAAAGATTCAGGTATTTTGGAAGAGATTCAGCTTCTCTTGAAAATATCACTATGTAAGGTAGGATTGAAAAAATCCAGGTACAGTACAGTGACACC